ACAACCCTTCTGGACTTAGAATTTCTGAAAAAGCATTGACTAATGGTTACCATTGTTATGCCGAAGTACAAGATTGGGATTATACACAGTCATGAGTATTGAAGAAAGTGAGAGTAGTGGGGGGTAAAGCAGGTATTTGATTTGTGTTACAATTTTTATTTTACAGGCAAACAAACTATAAGGCAATAAGGATTACTGTACAGATTAAACCAAAGTACTGTACTGTACCTGCTTTGTTCTACAGGGATACAATGAGCAACTGTATTCTCTCTCTGGTGTATTTCCTACCATTATAAAAGGCACTTTTTTCCCCCTTTTAACATTGTGGTTTGTTATTAAAACCGTTTCCAGAAGTAGGTTTAGAATAACATCCACCTGAGGACTAGTTCTTAGTAGTGATGATTTTTGCAAGTGCTGAGCATCCAGCACTTGCAAAAATTGAAGCCAATGGGAGTTGCTGGTTGCTCAGCACTGTGGATAATCAGGCCCTGTTTTAAGTACTTAAATGTGGACAGAAGACTTTAAATTGAGGGTACCGAGTTTTGAAAATATTGGCCTAGGATCAGTAATTCACAATGGGTAGACCCCCACCAGTGTTGATTTTCCTACTGCAAGTGCAGCCCAAGGAGCTTAGACTATTTTCGGTTACGGTGTCCCTGCTCTTATCTCTGTTGCAATCCTATGGTGGCAGTAGAAGTTAGAAGGAAAATAAGGTCTCCAACAGTATCATGTCTGTTGGGGGGAGATAAATAAATATATTTTTAATAACATGGCATAGCAGTTGGTGCACTTCAAGTGCAAATGGATCTGGCGTATATCTTACATTGACTGATCAGGATGCTGTAATGTTTGTTGCGACAAATGCAGGTATGAACGATCATGGAATAAACTTAACAAGACAAAGATCCTTCAGGATGCCCTGGAACGGGCTGGAAGAAAGGACCTGGCTGATAAACTTCGGTGCCTGCACTGGGGACATCAGAAGTTAAGCAGCAGAGTGGAGCTCCCTTCTGCTTTCCCCTTTCTCATCACTGTTCACAAAACCATCAACAACAAGGAAGGGCTTAAGAAAATTAACCAACTTAGTCGCAAGTATCCTTAAGGTGCTGCAGCTGAAACTGCAGAGTAAATCTCTCTTGCACATACACACTAGAAGTGAGGCTTCGGGTTATTGTTTTTTAGCACTCTGATAGAGCTTTTCATCTTGGAGCACTTTATAAGGTTTAACTAAATCCTGGATCTGGAATGTAATATGATGAAATACCCCGCTTCTAAGAAAACCTTGAGGGTAGCTGAAGCTGTGTAATTAATTGGTGAATTAATTTGTGTTATATTTCTTACTCACACCTGAGCTGACACACACGTACTAGAGCTGATCAAATTATTTGTGAATTTGTTGGATTTTCCTTTATTCTCTTTGAATACTGTTTGCGGATAGGTAATTAATTATGTAGGAAGCCACATTGCCAAAATACTGAGGAAGGGGGCCCACCTGATGGCCAGAGACAAGGCCCTCTACACTTATAGCCTTGGCCTCTCATGGCTTCTTGGCGATCTTCCAGGTTTTGAGTATTTTGGGGGGTAGAGTGAGTACCTTGCCCCCGCCCTTGATGGCATGATAGGGGAAGGGGGACCTTGCAGAGGTTTCCATTCCTACAGCTCCTGCCAGGGGTTTTAATTTGAGAGGGGATGATCTGGGCCCATGTTAAGAAGCATTGAAGTTAGGGGAACTGGCTGGAGCAGAGCTTTCAGGGATAGGTCTACACAGACCACGGGAGTGAGTCTCCCATTCCAGGTTGACAGACTTAAGCTTGCAGGGCTCTCGCTAGTGCTCTAAAACTAGCTGTGTAGTCAGTGCTTTGAAGTTGCAGCCTGGGCTGGAGCTTGGGTCAGAAGCCAAGGGAGGAGGGTGGGCTTCAGAGTCTGAGTTCCGGGCCAAGCTGCAACTTCAAAGCATTGTGTACACAGCTATTTTTAGAGCACTAGTGCAAGTCCAAATCTGTTGAACGGCCTGGGAGGCTTGCTGTCATGGCAGGCGTAGACTAACTATTTATTACTGCTTTAACCCCAATCAGTAGCGACTGGAAGTTACCTTCTCGGTGGTGGTCTCAACCCTATTCTCCGGGGACACATCTACATCACAAAGCCACTTCCACAAATGGCATTACACAGCAAAGGTGCCCAGGACTGAACAGGCATAGAAATCAACCTGCACTCTGACTCCTCCTTCATCAAGGTTCAAGACACCCTGAGGGGAAGCCTGCATTGCCTGTCATAGACTCATAGAACATTAGGGTTGGAAGAGACCTCAGGAGGTCATCTAGTCCAACCCCCTGCTCAGAGTAGGACCAACACCAACTAAATCAACCTAGCCAGGGCTTTGTCAAGCTGGGCCATAAAAGCCTCTAAGGATGGAGACTCTACCACCTCCCTAGGTAACCCATTCCAGTGCTTTACCACCCTCCTAGTGAAATAGTTTTTCCTAATATCCAACCTAGACCTCCCCCACTGCAACTTGAGACCATTGCTCCTTGTTCTGTCATCTGCCACCACTGAGAACAGCCTAGATCCATCCTCTTTGGAACCCCACTTCAGGTAGTTGAAGGCTGCTATCAAATCCCCCCTCACTCTTCTCTTCTGCAGACTAAATAAGCCCTGTTCCCTCAGCCTCTCCTCATAAGTCATGTGCCTCAGCCCCCTGATAATTTTCGTTGCCCTCCACTGAAGACTCTCCAATTTGTCCACATCTTTTCTGTAGCGTGGGGCCCAAAACTGGACACAGTACTCCTGATGTGGCCTCACCAGTGCTGAATAGAGGGGAATAAACACTTCCCTCGATCTGCTGGCAGTGCTCCTACTAATGCAGCCCAATATGCCATTAGCCTTCTTGACTACAAGGGCACACTGTTGACTTATATCCAGCTTCTCGTCCACTGTACTACCCAGGTCCTTTTCTGCAGAATTGCCGCTTAGCCAGTCAGTCCCCAACATGTAGCAGTGCATGGGATTCTTCCGTCCTAAGTGCAGGACTCTGCACTTGTCTTGTTGAACCTCATCAACTTTCTTTTGGCCCAATCCTCCAATTTGTCTAGGTCACTCTGGACCTTATCCCTACCCTCCAGTGTATCTAACTCTCCCCCCAGCTTAGTGTCTTCCATGAACTTGCTGAGGGTGCAATCCATACCATCCTCCAGCTCGTTAATGAAGATGTTGAACAAAACCGGCCCCAGGATAGACCCCTGGGGCACTCCGCTTGATACCAGCTGCCAACTAGACATTGAACTGTTGATCACTACCCGTTGAGACCAACGATCTAGCCAGCTTTCTATCCACCTTATAGTCCATTCATCCAATCCATACTTTTTTAACTTGCTGGCAAGAATACTGTGGGAGACCATATCAAAAGCTTTGCTACAGTCAAGATATATCACGTCCCCCACTTCCCCATATCCACAGAGCCAGTTTTCTCATCATAGAAGGCAATCAGGTTGGTTAGGCATGACTTGCCCTTGGTGAATCCATGTTGACTGTTCCTGATCACCTTCCTCGCCTCCAAGTGCTTCAAAATGGATTCCTGGAGGATCTGGCTCCACGATTTTTCCACGGACTGAGGTGAGGCTGACTAGTCTGTAGTTCCCCAGATTCTCCTTCTTCCCTTTTTTAAAGATGGGCACTACATTAGCCTTTTTCCAATCGTCTGGGACCTCCCCTGATTGCCACGAGTTTTCAAAGATAATGGCCAATGGCTCTGCAATCACATCAGCCAACTCCCTCAGCACTCTCTGATGCATTAGATCCGGCCCCACGGACTTGTGCATGTCCAGCTTTTCTAAATAGTCCTTAACCTGTTCTTTCACCACAGAGGGCTGGTCACCTCCTCCCCATGCTGTGCTGCCCAGTGCAGTAGTCTGGGAGCTGACCTTGTTCGTGAAGACAGAGGCAAAAAAAGCATTGAGTACATTAGCTTTTTCCACATTCTCTGTCACTAGGTTGCCTCCCTCATTCAGTAAGGGGCAAGCACTTTCCTTGACTTTCTTCTTGTTGCTAACATACCTGTAGAAACCCTTCTTGTTACCCTTCACATCTCTTGCTAGCTGCAACTCCAATTGTGCTTTGGCCTTCCTGATTACACTCCTGCATGCTCAAACAATATTTTTATATTCTTTCCTAGTCATCTGTCCAAGTTTCCACTTTTTGTAAGCTTCCTTTTTGTGTTTAAGCTCACTGAAGATTTCTGTTAAGCCAAGCTGGTTGCCTGCCATATTTGCTATTCTTTCTGCACAGTGAGATGGTTTGTTCCTGCACCCTTAGTAAGGCTTCTTTAAAATACAGTCAGCTCTCCTGGACTACTTTCCCCCTCATATTAGCCTCCCAGGGGATAAAATAAATAAAATTAAATTAATGGAGATATCCCATCTCCTAGAACTAGAAGGGACCTTGAAAGGTCATCGAGTCCAGCCCCCTGCCTTCATTAGCAGGACCAAGTACTGATTTTGCCCCAGATCCCTAAGTGGCCCCCTCAAGGATTGAACTCACAACCCTGGGTTTAGCAGGCCAATGCTCAAACCACTGAGCTATCCCTGCCCAGCAGTTCCTTGCTGCACTGTTGTATGGATAAACTGAAGGTTTCAGTTTGCTCTTAGGCTGGCACCTTTCACCAATACTAAATTCACAAAAAAATAATGAGTCTGATGGCACCTTAAAGACTAACAGATTTATTTGGGCATAAGCTATGAATCTGAAGAAGTGAGGTTTTTACCCACGAGAGCTTATGCCCAAATAAATCTGTTAGTCTTTAGGGTGCCACCAGACTCCTTGTTGTTTTTGTAGATACAGACTAACACGGCTACCCCCTGATACAAAAAAATAATGAAACTTAAAGCTGATATGCAAATGTGTAAAATATTTTCAAAAGCCATGTCACACAGTTAAAAAAAAAAATACAACTTCATATTTGACCACAGAATATGGGAAAGAAAGACACAGATTTTATCAGCGTCTGACATCTAATAAATACTTCCATTTTATTGTGCTACAGAATTACAAGGACTGGTGTTGTATTTAGTAGAAGACCTACATCAGCCTCCTCCTTCTAAAGATTTAAAGTTTTTTAAATGTTCAATGAGGGCCTCCATCTCTGCAGACTCCAACAACCTGTTGATTAGCTCATCCAGTGCCCCCTCACCACAGAGAAATTCCTATCAAACAAAAGAGAGAAGCATTAATGATTAGTATAGACCAGTATTTTTTGAATGCTGATCAATCAATAAAAATTCCTGGAATATATTTGCACGGAGCCTGATCTTTATGCATCAACCCATCAATCTTGCATTACTCCCCTGCTGTGACATCAGTTTTGAGTGGTATAAATGAGTCAGTTGAAGGCATGCTGCTGAAGAACGGCACACGGTTACATAGCATCTTCTTGGCAAGAACAAAAGGAATTACTGGCAACATCTTGCATCTGTCAAACCCCATTGCCTAAAACAAGTTAACTAATCTAGCAAGAATGGATGGGATGTAGGATATTGTAATGAATAATGACCAAATTCTGATACCCTTACTCATGCTGAGTAGCAGCTTACTCACAAGAAGTTCCATTGACTTCAATAGGACAATTTGTGGAGTAAGGGACTATTCAAAGTGAGTAAAGGGATCAGAACAGGATCCTAAAAAAATAAGATGAACAAGTAAATACTCTAAATTGTCATGTTATTTATTGAACCTGGTCCGATTCTCCCCCACACTGTTGTTTTTGTAATGATCCTCACTTGTATGTCACATCTTAACATACTGTAAATATTCCAGGGCAGGGAGCTGTACTCCTCTGTGTTCTCGCCTAGCTCATTGTTCAGCACAATTAAGTATGTGCTACTTGCTCTGTGACAGCAATAATATTAAATCCTAAACCTGAGCAATAAAATTTAAGTCTAATCCTAAAATGTAAATCCAAATCATAGAACAAACTCAATCTTGAAACCCACCCCAAGAGTTAAAAATCAATCCAAAACCTACTAGCCCAAAAGTTAAAATCATTCCAAAAATCTACCTATAAACTGAACTCACACAGAATACTAGCGTATCATGTATTTGTTCAGCACATTCAAGTGAAAAAAATATAACCATATATAGAATTTTACCCAGAAATATGTCAGATAACCTTAAAAGTAAACTTTTCTGTTTCCTTTAAAGGTGACCTGCAAAGTCCAAAAAAATAAATTTTAAAAAAGTGTGCTTTTGTGTGTTTGTGTTTTTGCCTCTATACCATATAAAGACAGTCTGGAAGTGGTGGGTTTTTAATTTTTAAACAAACTTCTTCTTGCTTTTTTACCCTACACATATCAGGAACGTCAAGTCTAGTCCTCCCTGGTTTGGTGAAGGACTCACTGAATATCTCAGGTGAGTACTGTGTGCTTTATCAGGCCTTCTTTATACAACAGAGAAAAAAAACAAAAGAATGGGGCTAGTGATTTTTTTTCTTTTGTATCTCACCTTTAATAATATATCACAACGGATGGAAAGAAAGATATAGGCTTTCCCAACCTATTACAATGTTCAGTAGTTAGTGGCATTTAATGGTACTTCACAATTTATGTCCACTCTTAGCTTCTTAACAAATTTAGTAATTACTTTCACAAGATTAACTCTGGCTAATGATGTAATAAGAATTTATATAGGTACACACACACTGTCTCTCTTGAAAAGATTTTATATGTATTATCATAAACATAACTACCTTGATATTGCGGACGTCATATGAGATCCTGTGATCAGTGACTCTGTCCTGGGTGAAGTTATAGGTACGAATTCTCTCTGACTGGGCTCTTGTTCCTATCTGTACAACAACAACAACAACTTCTATTACTTTTTTGAGTTTTAAAAACAAAAACCCTTCAAAAGCAGCACGAGCATCTTTAAACTGGATTGTAATAGATCAGCCTGTTCTGTAGATACATACAGTACTTAAACACACAGATTATTAATCTGATAATTGTCTCTTACACATTTTGGTCTACTGTATACATATAAATTTTGCCAAGGTTTAAGACATTACCCCTTCCCCCCCCATTTCTGAATTGGCTCTGTAGTGATAACAGGCATTAAAAAGTAGTTTAAGAAGCCAAAGTTGTCACTAATGTCAGCAAATATGTCTACACACAAATTAGGTCAACCAAGTAAGATGATGCTATGTTTACAGTCACTCCTCAGAGCAGAACTGTACTATTGGAACAATCAGTATATACTATACTTTCATTAACAGCCTGATCCTGCAAAAATTTATGCAGGTGAGTAATTTCACATGTAAATAGTCTCATACACGTGCATAGTTACTCCCGTGCATATGTGTTTTAAAGCGGTGGGCTTCACTTAGTATCCATTGACTTTGATGGGCACTTGACAGGCCTGCAGGGCCAGAATTTGAAAAGTATTTAGGTGCTTAGTCAGCCTGAAAATTCCAATAGGTGCCTAGTCACCTAAACAAACTTGAAAATCCCACTAGTTGCCTAGCTGCATCTTTAAGTGCCTAAATACCTTTCAAATTCTGGCCCTCGGTTACTAAAGAAAATATAATTACTTATAACTTTTGCTGACAAAGAAAACCATGGTTGAACTAGTCAAGCAGTTTCCATTATAACCATCCATTTTTAAAGAACACTCAAACTTTCTGAATAAATATTTTTTCAGCTGAAATGTTCCACAGTTGATCTCAGCTCAAAGATGCATTTGGGGGCAATTTGAGAAGAACGGTGTAGAGCTGTTCTTCAGTATCACAAGACTGTGAAAATATTTTCCCATTTTAAAAGTGAAAAGCCTCTAGCCGGTGCCAGCTCACTGTTTACATCTTCCATTCTGAATGGCTACTATCTTTACAAGGCAAGTAACTTTGCTTGGGACTCCCACAATCCTAGCTAGAAGAAACTGTAGGACTGCAATTCCCACTAATGATAATTAAAGGGGCACTTCTAATTACGTAATCAGCAAACTGAAAATTGTACTCCCTATAACGGGTCGGCAACCTTTCAGAAGTGGTGTGCCGAGTCTTCATTTATTCACTCTAATTTAAGATTTCGCATGCCAGTAATACATTTTAACATTTTTAGAAGGTCTCTTTCTCTAAGTCTATAATATATAACTAAACTATTGTTGTATGTAAAGTAAATAAGGTTTTTTAAATGTTTAAGAAGCTTCATTTAAAATTAAATTAAAATGCAGACTGGTGGCCAGGACCCGGGGAGTGTGAGTGCCACTGAAAATCAGCTTGCGTGCCGCCTTCGGCACATGTGCCATATGTTGCCTACCCCTGCTCTATAACAAAGAGATGGTGAAGGAGCCATACTAGAGTATGGCTCAGAAAAATGAACACACGCGAAGGAATAAACAGAGTATTTGTGATATTGGGTGTCCTCTAGTGGTGACAAGATGGAGTTACAAACAAATCTGAAAGTTTCAAAACTGAATTTCAAGTAGTTTTTGGTTTTGTTTTTGTTTTTTAAATGGAGGGTGAGACCTAGGGAAATAGGTGCACAACTTCCATTTAAAATCAACAGAAATTGGGTGCCTAACTCACCTAGGAGATTTTGAAAATCTCACTTGCAACCACATTTATATGTCCAAACAAGAAATTGATTTAATACATGGTGAAACATTAAGGGTAGGAGTTTCATTTTGGATGTCCAATTCCCATTAATTTTAATCGAAAGTGCACATCCAAATCCCTTAGGTAGCTTTGAAAAATCTCAGCCTAAATTCTAAACAACAAGAGATAAAGGCTTCATCAGCTGTAGTGACTGAGTTAATTTAAATACAATCTGCAGTTAGTGGTTAAATAACTGACTTGGAAATTTGTAAGTACTGAAGTCTTTTTTTTTTTTTAATTGCTTCTGCCCACTGAAGAAGTTCACATTGTAAAGAGCAAGATGCTCAGAGCAAGAGCTAAGAATGGTGGCGTACAGGGGGGGAAAAACAACCTTAAAACTTAGTTAAGTTAACCTTAAAACTGAAGTTAACTTCAGTTAATTACAAGTTAATCAATATAAATTATTTCTTCCTCAACAGGTTGGCTAAACTTCCAAAAACATAATAAATTATCAGATGGCTCTAACTTGGCAAGATTTTTGGTATCAAGAATGTTCTTATTTTTCCCCACACTCTGCAGGATCCTAGCAATTACTGTATTTTAGAATTGGATTCAGAATGTGCCTACCACAACTCATTGGACCGGATTCTCATTTACACAAAAGCTCCTTTATATCACTTGTTAGTGTAAAAGAGCATTAAAGTGGGTGTAAGTTACATGCAGTTATGAAGTTAGATTTGGTTAATTATATCAACATTAAGGCCCCCCGTACATTGGCAAAGCAACGTAAACTGGCCTCCAAAAGGGCCTGATTCTTATCTACATTTACAACATACTTTCCTTTTTACCTACATCCGTGTGTACACACCTCCCCTACTGCCCACACGCACAAAAAAGGGCGAAATTATTGTTGCTACCCCTGAAAGCTCAAAGCTATGGCATAATGTCATCTCCAAGTTTCAATAAGGAAAACATGTTGTCACCTGCAGTTTTCTAGCATTCTGCTTTTGGCTGAAGTCTTTCTCAATGATTTGTTGATACAACCTAGTTCTCAGTGTCCGCAGAGCTATTTCTTTGTTCAGTTGCTGTGATCGCTCCTGCTGGCACTCTACTGTTAGTCCTGTGTAGAATTCAAGAGAACACTGATCAAAGACCCATTGTAATAAACAGGATTCATCCTAAAACATTAGTAAAATGAAACCTTTCAGACCTCTTGCTCTTACTCTAAGGGCCTGTTCACACTAGGATAAAAGGTGTGTTTTTAAAACATTTTAGCTAAAACATTTTAGTTAGTATATTTTAGAACTGTAGTGTAAATGGGACAAGTTTTAACACAGCTGGTAGAGGTGAACTTGAGGGTTTTTTCTATTAGGGTTCATTGGACCACTTTTAATTATGATGCTGCATCTGGGAGTCCAGGGTTCATCTAAACCAGCTAACATGTTAAAATATAATTTGCCCTGTCTACACTAGGATGTTTAAAATAATAATATAGGGTTACACTGTGTGTGTGTGTGTGTGTGTGTGTGTATAATTATATAGCACTTTTCATCAACAGATCTCAAAGCACTTTACACAAGGAGATACTTATCTCAGTCCTTTGTTTACATAGGACCTGATGCTGCAAACTGTACCCTCCATTGTCATTAACTTTAATGAGCGTTAAGGGTCCTCAGTTTATAGAAGTTATTTACATCTTCCACGATGTCCCTGTCTCACTGCAAAGTGTGGTCCATTTATTAAGTGTGTCACATTGTAAAGATAAAATTGATCATGCAATTTTTGACATAAACGAACACACACCCCTGCAAAAAATGAGAAGGGCCACCTGACTTTCTCTGTATTGGCTGCTGTCCTGCCAGCTGTTCTGTGCAGACAGACCCCAGTGCCTAAAGTGAAGCAGCATGTAGGATCAGAGCCTTTGATTTGGGGATCTAGGTTGTGTGCATCTATGCACTAAAAGGCAAAGGTTAAAAATACAAAATCCCAAACACACTTACCAGTGGGAATATGAACTATTCTCACAGCACTGTCCGTTGTGTTAACATGTTGCCCTCCTGCACCTTTGGCCCTAAAAGTATCTATACGCAAATCCTTAGGATACACTTTAACGTCTACCTAGAGTCAAAGAAAATTCAGTTACCATCTGCTCATAACTATTTTAAAGAGATACGATCAGTTTAAAAACACCACTTCTGTCCAAAATTTGCTTGCCTCCCATTGTTACCGGTAATACCTAGGTTACTCTAACTGAAAGCAATTAGTGAATAAACAACATTTCTGTTCTTTTCCATTTGTTTACTCTGTGCCTTTGATAATTATTTGTGTGTAGTCAATTTCACTGTTTCCCCTGTGCAATCAGTCAGTTTCCCCTGTTTGTGCAAAATCTTTCACATAGCAAGAGGGGAGAGAAAAATCATTAAAGAATAGGAAAATGTTATTGTAAAACCACAACTGGCAGGGAGACTCCGAAGCAGATAAAGTACCAGAAACTCCTTTTGCTTACACACCAGTGTGGATCTACACTACACCAAAAGGCCCCAATCCTAACAACACTTATGGATGTGCCTAATTTAACTCCCCTGTGTAGTCCCATTGATTTAAGCACATGTGTAAGTGTTTGCAGGATAAGGACCTAAAACTGCTGAAGAACAGAGAAAGGCTACTAGTGATTATCTGTATTGTGGTAGCACCTAGAGGCAGGCCCGTCCACAGCAATTCTGGGCCCCAGGGCAGAACAGTCAATGGGCCCCTTAGAAAGGATGCGCACAGCATCCTCTACAGTTGGGCCCAGGGGAACCTTCGCTTTTTTTCAGTCTCCTACTGCCTGTGTTTCTGTGGATCATTTTCTCTAATACACATTTACCAACCAGAGAGATCCTAACTTTCAGCTCTTCCCCATGGGTATCCATCCAGCTGCCTTTCCCATCCACCTGGGATTGGTGCAAGCTCCAGAGCTGCTTCAGAATTTATTTGTTTCTCAGATACCACCCACTCCCTTCCCCATTATATCACCAAAGGAGTTTCTTCTCATTGGCCTTTGGGAGGATGAGGCAGAATAAACTGTAGTTTCTGTAACTGTGTCACTACCTGAAGGCGCTGTGCCTGGAACCTGCAGTGCAATGTCTCAATACTGAAGAATTCCCTTGCCCCTTCCCTTCCCCAGGCCAGGGGTAACCTGATGCCCTAGTAATCAGCCGAGGTGTGTGTGCGCGCGTATGTGTGTGTGTGTTCAGACAACCGGTCAAAAAAACAGGAATGTACCCAAACGCCATAACTCAGGTCCCAGTGGGGAACCATTACAGCTGTTATTATTCATGCATTTGTATTACAGTAGCACCTCTGGGTCCCAACTGAGATCAGGGCTCTATTGTGCAGGGTGCTGCTGTACACACCCATGGAGACAATTCCCTGCCCTAGAGAGACTACAATCTAAACAGAGAAGACAAACAAAGGAAGGATTGCTATCACCATTTTACAGATAGGAAATTGAGGCCAGAGAGATTTTCTGTCCCCCCGCCGTTCCCTGAACCAGACCACAAGCAGCCAGAGAATTCCCCTGCCATTGGCACTGCATTGTGCCATCATAGGCAGCCCTACACTGCACACTCCAGCTGTGGGAGGCAGGAAGTCGAGGGCAGAAAGTAGAACACTGAGCTCCTATGGCTGTACCCCAAGGACCACCCTTCACCTCTGTGTAAAAACTCTTCCAAGAAATAAGCATGAACTTCCAAGACATGACAATAAATACACTGAAAAGCAGTCAAGCTGTTTGAGCCATTCCTAAATCCTACAGCTAAAAGAATCCCAACACTCTACGTTTGTGGCACACAATTCTGCACATATACTCATTTGCATATGCAACAATCTGAAAAGGAGGTCAAACTGAGGTTCCTTTAAAAATATGGCCCTTTATGCCTAAATTTAGGGAATACTTAATATAATGTTGCCTAAAGGTTACAGCAGCACACTGGGTTCTCTCTGTCTGTGCCACTGATTCACTGGGTTTCCTTAGGCAAGTCATTTAATCTCCCTGAGCCAAATTCATTGTGACATTGTGTTCAGGGCTAATCCCCATCCCTCTGCCAATTTCCCACCCAGAACATGAAGGAAAATCCCAACTAAAAGTCTGGCTGAAACAAACAGAGTACTAATATATGGGAGAGGGAGGGTCCCAACATATTTACCTACTACGTGCTCATGGGCTTTATAAACCCACAGCTGTGGATGTATGAAAATTCTCACGATGATCCCCCAAGGCCTGTATGTCCCTCTTTGACATGTTACTCATGCACCAGTTGAAACTCTTTTTGGAGCATTACACTCTTACTCATAGAGTCCAAGGCTGTGATCAGCTAGGAGTCTGACCTCCTGCATAACACAAGCCCCGGAATTTCCCCAAAACAATTCCCACAGCAGATCTTTTAGATCTTGATTTTAAAATGGTCAGCGATGGAGCATCCACCAGGATTATTATTAGTGAACATAAATAAATCCTCTGGTGAGACTCCATCACTGTTCCCTTTACAACAGTCCCAACAGCAACACATCTCCACCCCCAACTACAAGCCCCGATCTCCAATCATCCCATCACCCCCAAATACGAGTGATAATCCCCTAATGAAATCAGCCACATGACCCCAAAGAACTGCCACCAGCCCCAAATCGAAATAGCCTCAAACACCACCCCCACCACCAGCCCTGCGCTGTCACCGAATCACCCTCCCCTTCCCAGACTCACCCTGCCCTCTCCTCCCTGGCGGGCCCCAGACAAAGCCCAGCTGGCGCCCAAGGTGGCGCTGCCAGTGCCTTTGCTGAAGATGTTGGTCCAGCAGCTGCTGGATCCTGAGTCCGATCTCGAGTCTTCCCCTCAGCGGTCCTGTGCCCAGCACCTTCCCCACAGCCGTCCCTGCCGACCTCTGCCCCCCACCCTCCACCCCTGCTCTTTTCACTTCCCAGCCCAGTTCCCCGCCGCCATCCCCAGCCTGGTTCTTCTACCTCCCCGAGCCCAGCTGCCTCCCCGGCATAGATGCAGAAAGTTTCGCTCCTGGATACGAAGTTGCAGTGATGGTTGCCGCCGCCGGCCCAGCTCTTCCCCCTGGCTCTGCGCTGGGGGGGCTGCTTCCTCGACACACCCTCCAGTGCCCCTCCTACCCAGCCCTCTCCAGCAGGGTGCATGGAGTCTTGTGGGCCAGTGCGGGGACTCAGGAGTGTGCGCCTAGGAGCCCTGCAGCCTGCCTGGGCGATTTAAAATGGCCTGGGGCTCCTGGCCACCACTACCACAACAGTGGCCGGGAGCCCCCAGGCCCTTTTAAATCACCTGGGCCCCTGGGCAATTGCCCCCTTTGTCTCTCCCCCGCCCCCTGTCGGAGGGCCTGCCTAGAGGCCAAGGGCTTCATTGTTCAAGGCACTCTAGAAACATATGTACAAACTTTGTCAAGTCAATGGTTCTTATGTTACTAAACTGTCTAGGCATTTTTGAAAATTACAGCTTAGGTACAAGTTTAATTTTAAGTACCAGGTTTGAAGATTTTGGCTGAGGTCTATGCCAGGATAGGTAGGGTTAGAAGGGCCTTAAAAGCTAAGACAAGTAGCTCATACTTGATGTGGTGGAAAAGGGGGAGCCAGTGGAGGGATGCAAAGAGGGAAGTGACAAAGTGGTCAAAGTGACAAGCCTGGAAGATGATTTTTGCTGCCGTGTTTTTAATGGATCTAAGTGAAATAAGACCAAAAGGGAGTTTGCAGCAGTGAAGAGCGAGACACTGAGGGCCTGGACCAGAGTTTCAGCTGTATGGACTGAGAAGAAAGGCTGGATCTTGGAAAAGTACAGAAATGAGTGGCAAGATTTAGACACAATTTAGATGTGTGGTAAAGGGCTGAGCTGAAGGTGATACCTACATTCTAGGTCTGAGTGATGTGGGGAGGGTAGTGTTGTTCACAGTGATTGAGAAAGGAGGGAGTGGGGAGAGCTTGCAGGGAAAGAGTAAGAGCCATGTTGAGTTTAAGCTGGACATCCACAAGGAGATTTCAGAAAAACAGCCCAAAGCGCTAGTTCAGATTTAGAGTGTATCTAAGCAGAGGAAAGAACCAATAATAAGATGTGTGATTGAAAAGAAAAAAGAATATTCAGAAAGGTTGATTGTATCATAGGTATCATACCAAACTTTTGTCTGGATGTACTCCCAAGCCTCAATACATTCTTTAATTTAGAATCTGTTCTAGTGAGTCAGTTTTGTGAATGCCAGGAGCCGGAGAGCTTAACAACATTAACTTCCATAGAATCATAGACGTGTAAGACTGGAATGGACCTCGAGATACCATCTAGTCCAGTCTCCTGCACTCAGGGCAGGACTATGTACTAGACGAAACCTGATAGGTATTTGTCTAACCTCTTCTTAAAAACCTCCAATGACAGATATTTCACAACTTCCCTAGGCAATTTGTTCCAAAGCTCAACTACCCTGACAGTTAGGAAGTTTCTCCTAATGTCTAACCTAAACCTCCCTTGCTACAATTTAAGCCCATTGCTTCTTGTCCTATCCTTAGAGGTGAACGAGAACAATTTTTTGCCCTCCTTGTAACAACCTTTTATGTACATGAAAACTGTTACGTACGCCCTCACAAACTCAATTTTTTCAATCTTTCCTCATAGGTCATCTTTAATCATTTTTGTTGCTATCATCTGGACTTTCTCCAATTTGTTCACATCTTTCCTGAAATGTGGCTCCCAGAACTGGACAATACTCCAGAAGAGGTCTAATCAGCGCGGAGTGGAGCAGAATTACTTCTCATGTCTTGCTTACAACACTCCTGCTAATACATCCCAGAATAATGTTGCTTTTCTTGCAATGTTACACTGTTCACTCATATTTAGCTTGTGATCCACTATGACCACCAAATCCCTTTCTGCCATACTCCTTCCTAGGCAGCATTTCCCATTTTGTATGTATGCAGCTGATTGTTTCTTCCTAAGTGGAGTACTTGGCATTTGTCTTTATTGAATTTCATCCTATTTACTTCAGACCATTTCTCCAGTTTGTCCAGATCATTTTGATTTTTAATCCTATCCTCCAAAGCACTTGCAACTCCTCCCAGCTTGGTATCATCCACAAACTTTATAAGTGTACTCTCTATGCCATTATCTAAATCACTGATGAAGATATTGAACAAAACTGGGCCCAGGACCAATGCCTGTGGGACCCCACTCGATATGCCTTCCAGCTTCACTGTGAAACACTGATAACTACTCTCTGGGAACAGTTTTCCAACTAGTTATGCACCCACGGTATAGTAGCTCCATATAGGCTGTATCTCCCTAGTTTGTTTATGAGAAGGTCATGCGAGTATCAAAAGCCTTACTAAAGTCAAGATATACCACATCTATCATTTCCCCCCTATCCACAAGGCTTGTTACCCTCTCAAAAAAAAGCTCTTAGGTTGGTTTGATACAATTTGTTCTTGACAAATCCATACTGACTGTTACTTATCACCTTATTATCTTCTAGGTGTTTGAAAATTATTGGTTGGCTATTTGCTCCATTATCTTTCTGGGTACTGAAGTTAAACTGACTGGTCTGTATCCTTATGCCCTTGAATTGCACTGTACCTCAGGCAGTAGTGGATTTCTAAAAAGTTGCTTTTGAGGATCCAGTAAAGTTTGTAGGGAATCATTTAGCCAGGTGCTGAGTCACAGCCTTGCACAGAAGAAAAGCTTGTGTATCCTTTGTTGGGACTTGACAATACACGCTGGCACCAATAAAATAATAGCAGTAACTTGGCTTAGTCCTTGGGGTTCGTTGTTTTAAATATGACACTCAAATGCCAAAAAGAAAAGCCAGGAAGACACTTCAATTTTATTCTGATTAAAGGTTAGTTTACCTCCTCTGGCTGAGGTAGGACAACAACTGACATTGTCCCAGTGTGAATACGCTGCATTCTTGACGATAGGCCAGTCTCAGGAATTCGCTGAACTCTGTGAGTCCCTCCTTCATATTTCAAATACCTGTAGACACAGTCTCCCGAAATATGAGCAGCTGCATGGTGCAATCCGCCTTTAAAGACAAATAATGCATAAGAGGTATAATCCAAAGACACAGCTTTAACTTAGTCTTATTGGCAGAAAGAACAGAACATTATCATACCAATCTCAGCTGGTGTGTAGTTCAGAATGTCAAAAGTCCAACATTTATAATCTGCATAATTCTGGTACATCTCAAACATTTCTTTGGTGAACTGTTGGCAAATGTCACCTAAAAAATTAAATATTTAGACAGCGCAACATGAAATATAAGTTTATAGACTCTTCCCTGAAAATTATCAGTTTTTAGCACTAGCAGTAACTCTAAAGACCATTGTCGTTGGAGATAATTTATCTGCATAAAGCACTAATACTCATCTCTACAAAGTGCTATTTTACATTATTAAAATGTAAGAGAAACAACTGAAGCCTTGAAAACCTGGATTGAGGTTTGGTGTAACCTTTACTTGTGATGACTTTGCTGACCTCCAGTGGTTCTGCCTGATGTCACTTCTAATATAACATCACTTTCATCATGTTTCTCCCTTGGCACTATACTCTGGAAAAGCTGAAAAGAAAGAAAATATATTAGTTTCTCCCTTCTTGACCAAATTTACAGCCAGTCCTCATGGTTGCATCAGTCGGAACATGCACAAACCCCAGACTTGTAAATGCAAATCAGGTATTTAGGAGTGAAAAATGCCCAGTCAGTGTTGTAGTCTGAGATTCCTGGCACACAACGGTGAGATTTTGGTGTGTTAATGGAGACTAACTGAAAATTTGACCCCACAATGCCAAGCATGAGACCACCAAATCAGCCACTGCAGCCTCCCTTGTGAACATAATGATATTAGCCAGGAAAGTCAGTTCACACTGACACTGACCTTATTTTTCAGATGATTCTATTTCATACAATCAGATTATCTTAATTTTCTAAAATACAGACACTTGAGTCACAACATAAATCCTTCCACTGGATTTCTTTCAGCTTCTCTTACTACAATTATTTTCACACACTGGTCTCATTTAACTGAAGAAAATGATAAAGAATTGAAAGTTCCACAAGGATAAAGCCTTTCCAGACATGTCTGTACACTCTCTGCTGCCATGAACAATTGGCAGAACTCCATGCCATGTCTTCATAGCACAGTGGTTCACTGTGTTACAGACTTTTCAATGACAGCAAATGAACAAGCACACATACAAAAAGTGTCTAAAAGAAAGAGCTTCTAAGGTGCATTTGGCAGTAGAGAGACTTTCCAACAGTGCACATTTCCAGGTCTTTTCCAGTGAGAAAACAGAAGCTAGACCTATTTCTTTAACGGCAAGTGTTATAGTCTGCTGTTAAGAAAATCTTGCCTGGAACAATAAAATCGCGTGGCTGTATGAAGACTTGTAAATGAAGATGTCAAGAGATGTTCATCTTAAAGACTCTGTACCTTCACCTCTAGCTCACCTTTTTGCAAAATGTGTTGATTTTTTGGTTAATGATTTCCTTCTCTTCTAAGGCAAGTTCTAGCAGCTGTTTTTCATCTGTGCTGTCTAGCTCTAAATTCCAATGACAGAAATAAATGTTAACCAATCTTATTTAGTTTAGAGCACATTGTAATACAAATGCCAAATTACGCCTATTACAATGGAGAACAGCTTCCATTGCAGGAAATTGCTTATTCTCAGTATAAAATACCAAATAACGACAGAAGCATAAGATGATGTATATTACTAATTAAATGTTAGCCCTGGATGGCTTGGGAGACTGGAAATGGGGCACAGAGGATTTTACCTCTACGTCTCAAGTTCAAACGTAGCCAAAGTCAGTAGCAGATAAAAGTTATTCCCCGTGCCACAGCTCTTCACAGGCATATGTGAAACAAATTGATAATCTAATTCCTACTAAAACTAATCACTATTTACACTAATTGGCAAACTTGTTGGCAGCCTCAACAGTGAGGCTACGAACTGAATGGGCGGGGATCCAGAACTATCCCGTTACTGAGAATGAATGGGGTCTGGAGAAGAGAAGAGAATCATAAATTATCAGGGTTGGAAGGGACCTCAGGAGGTCATCTAGTCCAACCCCCTGCTCAAAGCAGAACCAATCCCCAGATGGATTTTTGCCCCGATCCCTAAATGGCCCCCTCAAGGATTGAACTCACAACCCTGTGTTTAGCAGGCCAATGCTCAACCCAATACATCAGGATTTTTATCTGTGTGTTTGTTTTTAAAAGTAAATTTATGGTGGATCAACAACGCTGGAGACCAACATCCTCTATTTTACCAAAGGAAGAGGAAGAGCAAGGGCCATGGCAATCTAAGCTTTCCCACCAATATATCTCATCCTTGATCTAGCCCGGGATGGGCAAATTTCACTGCCAGTGTTGCGTAATTACCAAATTTGTAAGCTCCATTCCTTGCATTTCTTCCTAGTCCTAATATTAATAATGGTATCATCAGCAATTTCTGCTACCTTGCTTTCCTCCCCTCTATCTTCCACATCATCAGTCAATATGTTGAAAACCATTGGGCATAGTTTTGATTATGGGATAACCATTTGTTTATTTCACTCCACATGAGAGTTCTCAAATATCTTCAAGGAACTAGTATTTCACATAAGGTTAAATTGAAGCCTGACAATTCAGGGCCTGGGGTTGAGCATCTCCGAAGAGATGTGCAAAGTCCATAATTTAATAGATATCAATTAACCAAACACCAATATCCAAATTTAAATGACGTCAAGTCTGACATGTACTATAAATCATGCCCCCTGCCCAAATAAATAAGCCTTACCTAAAATATGTCCCTAAGAAGAAAATTGTCATTAGCCCTATGAAACAAGGACTACAGTAGTCTTAAAACAAAGTTTCTAGAATATTTTAGCTAAAGACAGCATTCCTGTAACTTTGAATGTATAATGTACATGACACTGACCTGCTCTGCAAAGTTGGTCACTCTGAGGCCTCAAGAGTAAGTGCAGTGGGGCTAAAGCAAAACAAAATGGGAGGATCTAGAAGGCTTTAATAGGGACGTGGAGGACCCTCAGGAAAATGTATGTGCCTAGTGTATTGCTCCCTGAGTGACTTGTTTCAAATTCTGGGTAATAAGGCACATCGCATCATAAAAAAAAACCTGCTTTGCATAAACAGATGTATTTTACTTACTTGTACACATGGATTCTATCTCTTGAATTTCTCTTTCTGCCTCTTGTATTTCTTGAAATGCAGCTACAAGGGTGGATAAATGAGTATGTCTTCTGCTCAGAGTACTTCGATCATACTCATTCACTGAGCCACTATTTAACAACTGGCCAACCCGCTGGTATTCTCTGTTTAAGGTCTCTAGATATTTTTCCACAGCTTCATGCTTCCACAGTGCTCTAAAATCCTGATGATATCTCCTTGACCAATCATTAAATGACAGCGTAGGTTTAACTATATTCAGTAAATAATTGCGTCTAAAGATAGATAGTTCCATCATGTGACCTATCCTTTTAACAAGAGGAGAGCAGTGATGGTGATAGCGATGGAAACAACTAGCAAGCAGACTTCTAAAAAGCCCAACACCTCGGTGAGGTTTCATCTCAGCTTTTACTGTTCACCACCTGAAATTTAAAGCAGATACAATATGGGCTACTTTTTCATTGGCTTTTTTTTTTACATGTGTATTTTAAAATGCTAAATAGGGACCAAAACCTGCTCTTAGTTGTATCAGTGTAATGCCATTCCACCTTAGATGGGACTATCCCAGACTTAGGTCTGGAACACACTAGGAACTTTTACTGGCATAGCTATGTTGGTTAGCCGTGTGAAGAAAGTCACATCCCAATTAACATAGCTATGCCGGTGAAAGCTGAAGCACAGACACAGTTATACTGTCAAAAGAGTCCTTTTGCCAGTATAGCTTATTTGATTTGGGGAACTGGTTTAAGCTATTATACTGGCAAAAGAACTTTCTTGCTGATATAAGCTGCATCTACAGTTGGGGGGGTTGCCGGCATAGCTCTGCCAGTATATCTATACCAGAAAACAGCGAACCGCGGCCACTAAGAGCTGCGAGCGGCCGTACCTGCAGATGCTCAGGTAAACAAAGCGTCTTGCGGCCTGCCCGGGGCTTACCCTGAACAAGCCGCAAACCAAGTTTGGGAACCACTGCACTAGTGTAAGTGAGAGCAGCAGAGCATGGCCATGAGTGTATTAGTAACACTGGCCCTGAGCTTACAACAGGTTAATTGGCAAGACTACTGACACATGCATCAATGTTTGCAGGATTGGAGCCATTGCAACAGTGCTACATAGCCTACTGTGCATATATTTCAAAATTAAACTTACAAATAAGGGACATAAAATAATTTCAATAAATAAAAAGAAAGCAGTCTTAAATACAACTAATTTGTCTGAACTATTCCACAGTGATGCAAGAACAGTAACATAGTACTGGTACTTATTCCTTTTGAAAATTATGGCCATTGTTCAGGGAACGGTCTCCATTCCTTCACCAGTTTGTACATTTCACATCACAGATCCTGTTTTGAACCTTTTCCAGTTTGTAACAGGAAGTCCTGATGTTGTGGCCTATCAAGGGGCCTAAACCTGCATCCCATATTCACATGAATAGTCCTTACTCTGACAAGTAGTCCTATTGACCTCAGTGAGACTGTGACACAAGAAAGGATTCATTATGGAACTGAGGGTTCCTACCACCTCTGCCAATACTGTGAGCCCTTCTGTCTTTGTCAATATTTCCTCATCCTTCCTGTGTCAATTTGAGGGGAAACAGGTCACCTTATTTTGGTTGGCAATCCACCATTCCTTCAACTAACGAAACCTTTTCTCAAGGCATTGGTTCAAGAGAGGTCATCTTTTCCCTGCCAAAGGATAGCACTGTACACCATTTTTAAAAGTGTTTTGATCCTGAATTGTAACACATTTAAGGCAAAAAGTATATGTGTTTTCGGGTGAGCTATTTCAAAAGATGCAGGTAATTCCATTTTAGGAGGGGAAAACTCAAGCTTCTATTAACTTGTTTGCAAAAGTTTTAGGGTTTCTTGCAGAAAGAAAACAAAATACTCCATAGGAATGGATTAAGTCAAGGGGAAATTCCATGAAGTTCCCTGTGGAGTTTCCTCTGCATCTTCTCCCCAACAAGGAGAGGTTTGGAGTTTGTGGAGGAAGTAGGAGATGCTGCCTGGAAACCAACATAAAGAGCATCCCAGATAATTATAACCACTGAAGTGGATTATAGGGGAAGAGATCCCCTCTCAGATAACCACATGCTAGGACTTTTCAGAGAAAGAAATCTGAAGAATTGCACTGCCTGAAGTGACAGGGTTTAGAGAGCAATAGGATGACAGGGAACTCCCTCCCCCTGCCTCAAGAAAGGAGGAAGAAGAAATAGTCACCGTCTCACTACAGCATCATCATGAAGGACAAGGTCCTTGTATTTATTTCTGAAGGCCTGATTCTTTGGCGCCTTGCACTTTGTGTCAGTATTTACATCTGTGAAAAATGCTATCACTCTGCTATGGTAACATTTTACACCTACTTCTCAGAGGTGTGACTGACGACACAAAGTGCAAGACTCAGAGAATGAGGGAAGGAACCTTCCCCCGCAACAGTCAAAATTCTCAAGACAGATACAAAAGACCATGAGATTTGTTTTAAATAAATTCCATAATAGTTATACTAATCTCAGTGGGAGTTCTTTGTCTTATCTTCTATTTTTTTAACTCATGGAGACAGAAATATTTTTACAAATTAAATACTTCAGGGTCATTTTCTTTTAACACATCAGACACACATGTGGGCAAGTAGGTATATGCCATGTATGTCACAGCATGCCAGTTTTAATTTCTTGATATCATGGTTTCTTTTGGGTCAGTAGCAGATATTTTTTGTTCACCGTCAGGCCTTTTATTAACATGCCACTATAACTCTCTAATTCCATCCACTGTGTCAGTGATCCTATTGTTTACTATCATGACAAGAAGAGGAGTATTTCAAATTGTTGACCTGTCAGCGTCACAGGCATTGAAGGAATCAGGAAGAACTCCTTTGCACCTCCCACCTTTCACAAGCTGGCTAGATCCTGCTTAGCCCCTGGTATAAATTATAGCAACCTCAGGGCTGCTCTAATTGACACTTGGCTACTGATAGCCCCAAGGGATTGTTCTGGTGGCTGAGAAGAGCCATAGCAGAGCCTACACATCTTTTTCATTGCCCATATCTTGACATGCTTCTGTCAGAACAATGCGCAATCAGGGCAGTCATCTATAGCCCTGGAATTAATTGCACACCCCCAAATTTAGACCTCACTTAAAAAGATGCAATTCATAGAATCATAGAATCATAGAATC